CCGAACGAACGTACAGAAATCATTAGATGAGCAAAACATTCAATCTGCTATTGATATTACAAACAAAATAATAAAATACGAAGAACATCTTGGTGCTTATATTTCAGACACTAAAGCTATTTCGGAAAATACTCGTGTTCTCATTATTAAACGACTCTCTAATTATTGTGATACTCTCAGTAGCATATCTTCGATTGAACAGACATCAACACTTGAAAAAGCTTTTACCGATACAATAATTTGCCTAGAGTTATCAGTCACATTGAGTACGCGAACTGAAGAATTTTTTCCAAATGAAACCATGCAAAATATTCAAAACGCATTTGAAATAGTGTCACAATATTTAATTGATAATGCTGAAAAATTTCAAAATGCTTTCAAAGATATGAATTCTATTAAATTACATGAAACGATGTTAATATCGAGAAAATGGCAGACATTGTTAGACACAGTTAGTCGATGTTCTTTAAATCATATTGTAGTACAAAATTTTTCAAAAGAAATGAAAAAAATTGTTTCATACAAAAGTATGATCAGTGAACTTGAACGAAAGATCGATCATCTAAAGAATCAATTGAATGTTGAATTTATAACTGATGAGACGATCCGATTTGAAGGAAAGCGTGACGATTTCTTTAATAATCTGAGGATTACATTAAGTATATTAAAAAATATAGATACTAAATTTAAGGGTGTTCTATTGTTACCAATTGATATAGATACATTTGAAAAGAATATCAAAGAAAAAATCGAGAAAATTAAGAGTCAATTGATGGTTAAAGCATCAAAAAATGAACTTTCGTCTAGGGATGCAGATGATTTTCGCATGTATTATAATCATCTTGTGTCGTTTGACAAATATATTCATTTCTCGGAACTTAATATCAAACAAATTTTAGATGATTCTCAAGAAAAAATTTTTGAAAAAATCCGTCCTTTAAAAGAAGAAATAAGAGAATCTTTTAACGATGTTTCAGTACTTTCCGGCGCACTAATTAAAATAAAATTTTTCGCTGAAAATTTATCAATGTTTGAGAAATATATTAATGATGAAATTGATGATGTACTCAAACATTATAAACAAAGCCAAGGTCCTACTGGTATTGCATGTTTATCTGTAGAATTAGAGAAAACCGACATAGGTGCACGATTAATTAGCGAACATTCTAGTTTAAGTGGAGAAGATTGGAGAAGACGTCGAGAAAAAATGCAAAAACAGGATGATCTTGACTATTTAATAGGAAAGTTAACTGGAACACATTTAGCTACGGGTAGTTTGCGTTTACGTTATTGCACTTTTAAAAAGAAATATGATGAATTAGTGGCTATTTTTTTAAAATTACTTACACAGAACAATAAAAAAGAACCAGATTTAGAAGTATTGATTTCCGAAATCAAACGTCTGACTGGTACAGTAGCTAAAACATCTAATTCTGTGACGTGGACTCAAAATTTTAAAGATGATATTCCTATACTTTTAGCATATATATTTGCTATTTGGACTTTGAAAAATACTCAACATTATAATACAATGCGTGGTATTGATGAATCTAAATCTTATTTATTAATGCCACATGTTGGACAGGTCATTGCTATTTTTCGTTTACTTGGTCTTGGGTATGAAAAAAAAGTAAAAATTCCAGTAATCGGAAAAACTGTTTTGAAAAGAATATCTGAAGATTTAGCGAATAACTTAGTCGAAGTAGGCACAGGTGAAGGTAAATCAGTTATACTTGCAATAACTGCTTGCGTTTTTGCTCTTACTGGAGTTGATGTCAGTTGTTCTTGTTATAGTGAAGTTTTAAGTACACGTGATAAAAATGATTTTGCATCAGTTTTTCGAGCACTTGGAATAGAAGAACGAATTGAATATGGTACTTTTAATAAATTATGTGAACAATTATTGAATGAACAATGTAATGTAAGAGAAAAAGTGTGTGATATGATTGTAACGAATAAAACAAAATTAGATAACACTAGTAAATCATCGTGTAGACGTTCAAAAGTATTGTTAATTGATGAAGTAGATGTTTTTCTGAGTGATAAATATTATGGTGGAATGTACACACCATCAGTTTATTTAAAAGATCCTTCAATAAAAGCGTTGTTAGATTCCATCTGGCAAAATAAGACATTACAATCGTTAAATAGTGTCAAAGCTCTACCCACATACAAAGCTTGTGTAGCTAAATATAGTAACTGGATTTTTCTTTTTGATGAAGCTATAAAAGATATGTTAGCTGCTTTACAATCATATCAATCGTCAACATATATCGTTCAGAATGATAAGATTGTCTATGTTGAAGGCGAGTCTATAGTAGATAATGTTGTTCGTGGTTACGATACAGTTTGGGCATATTATCATGAAAATGAAAAGGATAATATCAGTTATAATAGTCTAAATGAAAATGTCGGTATTCTTATTTACTGTGGAACATTTTCTTATGCTGAAATGCCTCATGATTTTGCGTATATCGGTGGTGTAACTGGTACTTTGACAACACTTGCTGAGGTAGAAAAGAAAATATTAAAAGATGTATATGTAATCGATAAAATGACATATATGCCATCAGTATTTGGAAGTACTAATCGTAGCTATAATTCAATGACTGATGTACGTGTAGTACTCGACGAGACTGAATATTTTATGGAAATCTTTGGAGAAATTCAAAGAATATGTAATGTAGATCGTGCGATTCTTGTATTCTTTGAATCAGAAGAGAAACTAATAGAATTTTATAATTCTAAGGAATTATCTACTAGAAAACAAGAAGTTCAGATAATAATGGAAAAGGTCTCTGTAAAAGAAAGAGAATTATGCGTGAAACGTGCTGCTACAGTTGGTAAGGTGACACTATTAACTCGAGCATTTGGACGAGGAACTGATTTTATTTGTCGTAATCAGCAGCTACTACAAAATGATGGTATTCATGTACTTCAAACATTTTTTTCTGAAGAATTATCTGAAGAATATCAAATTATGGGAAGAGGGGCACGACAAGGAGATAAAGGTTCTTATCGGATGATTCTGTTAGGTAAAGATTTAGAATGGGTACTAGGTCCCTCGTGGAAAGAAGATCTTCCGAGAGTAATGGGTGATAAACTTTACGACACGTTAAGTCGAGCTCGTAGTGCTCGTTATGAGAGTAAATGTGGTGCAAAAGAACTCGGTATTACACAATGTAAGGCTGAGCATAAAGCATCGAAAGAATTTATGAGTGCAGTAGTAAAAGGAGAAATTAGTTTCATAAAAAAGTTTTTAGCTAAGCAAAATCAGGGAGCAAATATAATTGCAGATTCTTCACGTACAGTGTTGCTTATGGATGCTACAGCATCTATGTCTAGTTTACTATCTGCTGCTAAAGAAACAGTCTGTACGATGTTTGAACGTGCTTCAATTGTTTTAGCGGAAAAAAAACTACCTAATGATGCATTTCAAATGCAGTTTGTAATTTACAGAGACTATGATTGTAAAGAAGATGGAATTCTTCAGAGTTCTTCTTGGGAAACTAAACCCAGTAACTTAAGAAATTTTATGACCAACGTTACGGCTATGGGTGGTGGTGATTATGAAGAAGCTATTGAAATAGCACTTTGGCATGCAGTTCAACAGAGTGAACAGCCAGAGGAATTATCTCAAGTAATTTTGATAGGAGATGCACCCGCAAAAGATACGCTAGCAATTAACAGAGACAGAATCGCTACTGGCGGTGATGCCTATTGGAGTAAAACTAAATATAAAATGCCAACTCATTACATAGCGGAATTGCAAAAGCTAAAAATTAAAAAGATTCCCGTTCATGCATTTTATCTTCATGCGGGAGCAAAAGAAAACTTTCAGAAAATATCAAGTGAGACATCAGGACGTTGTGAACCATTAGATATCAATTCTCCTCAAGGTGCCGAAAAGTTGACCCAATTTGTAACTGAAGAAGTTCTGAGAATAACAGCAGGTGATCAAGGAGATGCCGTAGTAGCACTATATAGAACTAAGTATGTGAAGAAAACGTTTACATCCTAAAATTGAATTACAAAAAATATTCCTCTCATTTTGAATTAAAAACCATATCAATACAAATCATATGTTTTCAAAGCTGATTTCGTTCTTCTTATAAGTAGAGAGTTGTCTTAAATATTGTACGCAACATGTCCTAATAAAAAAATGTAAACACGTAATGTCACCCATTATTCATTTTTTGTCTAGATTTGAACTCAGTCTCATTTTGCTGTGCCTTTTCTTCTTTGTTTCTTTCCTTTTTGTTTTTTTTATTTGTATTGAAACTTATCCATTACCATCATTTTTTGTATCCAATATTATTCTGCTTTTTATGTAATTGCGAACGATGTGCTTTTAAATAAACTGAATTAACTCAAAAAAATTATTCTGATAAAGAAAAAGAAGAAACTGTTGGGTGGGTGTGGGTTTCAATGTGGATGTGATGGAAGTGTAGTTGTGGATACGATATCAATATATGATACCAGCGCCCACCCAGACAACCACACCCACACTCTCAAGATGCTTAAGATGAATCAACTATTGTTGAACCTGGGTGTGGGTGTGATTGTGGGTGAACATAAGACTATACCACACCCACACCTTTTTCTAATAATGAATTAGAAAAATCTGCACGCATATAGTCCATTGAATTAGACATGAACGTGTGAGATTTAATTAACTGAAAATTTCTTTTCAAACAACAAAATGTTTTTGCTGATTGGCGAACAAAATTTATTATTTTTCTTTCACAAATGACATACAAATACTAATTATAACATATTGATCAGTTAAACTATATGCAACTAATCTAAATAAATTCTAAAAATATTCTCAAAACTTTCATAATTATTCAAGTATTGATTCATCACATGTTTTACCGCATACTGAGTGCAAAATAACTGTTCTCAATAATTCTTTGTATTATCTTTTTTATTTAACCGAGATGAATAAAAAAATAAATAGTTCATATTAGAACAGAAAAGTCAATACAACACTCAACATATCAGTCATTTCCATAGCATATTTTAATTGTAAAATCATGAAGACATTCTTCACCATTAATCATTTGTTTTAACTTTTCAATCATTACATTATCATCGGTTGGAATATGAAAACATAATGAACGAAAATATCGATTGGGATCGTCTTTTATTGCTTTTAAAATATCTTTGAAAAATAATTCAACATAGAACTTATGCAAAAAACCAATTTTAAGATATTCCACATTAGGACAATGTTGAAGAAGAAAATAAATATCTTCAATTCGAGACATTTTTTCGAGATAAACTTTTGTAATTTCATTCTTTGCTGATTTATAACGACGATTTTTATCATAAATAAATGATTCATATAATACCAAAGAAGAAATTCTTAATGTTTGAAGTGCAGAGAATTCCTGTATTAGTTCCAGTACTATATTAGAAGAGATGTTTTCTTTAGATATTTCCAAATGATAAATCTGCGTGACTGCTAAAAGATCACAAATCATTAATTCAAATTCCATTAGATGATCATCATCAGGAAGATATGTAATTTTAAGTCGAGTAGAATTTGAAATTTCATTAGAAGGATCGACATCATACCATCTTTTTCTACAAAACAAAACAAACAAATGATTTACAAAATAATATAAGATTATTTTTATTATACTCGTATGATCGAATTGTATAAAGATATTCCATACCACACATTTCAACTTCTAATACCCATTTTTGTTTATTCCAAAATAATGAATTAAATTGATCAGGTGGTTTAAAATTTGATGAAGATCCTAATTCAGGATCAATATCATGCCGATATCCTAAATGCAATTTTTTTAATTCCGGTAAATAATTAATAATCAATTCTTCCCACGGATCATCATCAAAATAAACATTATAATAATAATAAAAGCTAACATGTAAAACTTTTAAATTACATTCACTTTCTATAATCAACGCTTCTAAATTATCAAATGTTACATTACACGATTCGATTGATAGATATGTTAGATTAGGTAAAGTAACTGATAATATAATTTCATTGTCTGAATCACAGTCGGATAAATAAAGTAAACTTAAATGGCAAAGTTGTGGTGTATAAGATATTAAAGTACAAAGTGTATCAAAAGCACAGTGATGATTAATAATAAAATATTCGATAGCACTGAGTTGTTCATTAGTAGCAATTGGTAATGAAATAGATATATCATCTTCGTCTCCTGAACATTTAATATATTTTAATTTTGGTAAAGTGAAAATTAATCGATAAACTTCCGTGAAATCGTCGAGTGAATTTTGTGTATTAATTGTTAATGAAACAAGACGATGTAACGAGGATAAATTACCAAGAAGTGAAATAAGTACAGATGATGAAATTTCATCGATAGAAAGTGATTGAAGTTGATAAAATGATGAATCAATTGAAAATGATGAGAAAAAATCATTGTTTGGTATATAAAATGAAACTATTTGATGTTTATGATTAAGGAGAAATTGTTTATAAGTGTTATCAAGTATTAAAGAATCATGATTAAATTTTAATAAAAGAGATGAACAGTTGATTAGTTGTTGAAAACGATGATTAAGATTTGAAAATGCTTGATAAACTTCGGAACCATCAAGATATTCAAATATTTCATAAAAAATTTCATTAGACAACTTTTCAATTAAACTAATCGACATATTAACGATGAAATGTAAACGTTTTTAATCTAAAAAGAAAAATGAAATGTACACTTGTCTGATCTATTGTTGTTTATAAAATCGAATTGTTAGCTGTGTATGTTATCGAGGATAATATATATTTCTTCTTTTCCTTTCTGTTGCCATGAATCATTATTCGTCTCAAAGATATCATCACACACAGATCGATTAGCACAAGAATCGTTAAAACATTTACGACGCAATTTTCAAAATCAATCATTTTTTGCTTAGTGTCTGAATTTAGCGATATCACAAAAAAAATAGGTACACTAGAATTATTTACATTCGAGAAAAAAGAGATGTCGCTCTATTATAACGTAACAATGATTATTATTTTCTCTTATTCTAAGTGTCAGTTTTGATGAACGAAAGCGACAACCATCTTGAGGGTGTGGGTGAACAAAAGACTGCCACACCCACACTATCCAACGAAACAATTATTGTTCAAATAAAACTATGTCTTGTATTTTTATCGTAATGATACATGAACTTTTTCTTTTCAATCAATGCCTTTCGATTACGATCAAAGTTCCATAATTGATAATTAGATTTCAATGAAATAGAATCATTTGATATGTTTCCATTATGTTAAAGATTTGAACATAGTTAACAAATATATATTAATAATTAAATAAAAACTACAAATCATTTTTGATTAAAATATAAATCAAAGTCAAAAATTTGAATTAATAAGAATTTTCTGTTGGCTGAGTTGATGTTGAGACATTATTGTCACCAACAGATGTTGATGTTGGTTGGGTTGATGGTTCCTTATGATTATTTATTTTTACTTGTGCGATTGTATTCATCATCGATTGTAATGATTTGGTTACCTTATTATATATAAGAAGATTTTTATGAATGATTAAAAAAAGGTGCTTGGAGAGAACGCTTAAAAACATTTCTAAATTCGTTTTTCTTCTCTCTCAAAGTTTCAAAACATGACTTAAAAAGTAGGTTTTCTGTATGATGAATTTGAATGTTAACATGATGTTAAATTCAAATGTGCATATAGAATATTACTTATTCATGATGGAAATTCTCGGAAGTTTGTTTTCTTACTTCATTTATCTTTTGTTGTTGATCAAAAATTGCTTTCATCATCTCAGATCTATAGAAAAAAAAATGTTATAGAAACTATTACAAAATGTTCATCATACTCATTCATGCTAGTTGTGTTATGCAAATGGTCATCATCAGATAACAGATGAACATTCTTTGTAGCTTTTTCTACATTTGATCGAGCACAGTTGTGAGTCGCAGCATTTTCAAATGCATCCCAACGTTCGCTTGTTGTATCAGTTGCTGCAATCATTTCTAAATTATTTTTGTTACATTCATTGAATGAGACACATCGAGTTTTCAATCTTACTAAAATTACGTAATGTTATTGATTGTGATGTATGATCATTGACTTTAGTTCCTTTACAGCATGAGTTTGAATAAATATAACGAATAAATAGTATAATATGTGAAAATATAATTAGGGGTGGATAAGCCCATGGTGGTTGTTCAAAATATTCACGAATAAATGAATAACGTTGACAACGCCAATAAAATTCTGTATTTTCTTTCACTTTATCAATTGTATCACTAAATTTTCTAATTAATTGTCTTTTACAAGTAAAAAATGAATACTTACGTAAAAACAGCAATTAATAAATTCAATATAAGAATATTGATAAATAACATATGCAATGCTAATAGAATATGTGTAGCAGTTGCTTCAGCAACAAGTGATTGTTTATCATCATTGATTATCTCTAAAGAAATATAAATAAAATAAAATATTATATAGTTATAAACTAGAAGAATCTTTACGATCAAGTAAATCTTTATCAGATACATCTCCATATATAAACCAGTATGGTTCATAAAAGATGGTTCGAAATATATCACTAGCAGTAAATGGAATTTGTTGGTAAAGAATTAATGCACGAGATACAACACCATATGCTGCTATTGCAATGAAAATCATATAGAAAAAAGCAGCTAGATCACGAAGCTATAAATTCATTCATTTGCATATCTTATTTATTATTAATATACAAACCATATTTTTAAGCATAAATAATTTCGGTCCTACAGATTTTAAAGCTACAACAAATTTCAATGAGCCAAGATACCATAGTTCAAGATCAAATGCCCATATAATTCTACAATAATACTGTTTATTGTATATATTAGTCATATGAACAAACAAACCTTCCAGCAGTAAAGATTTTATCGTCGTAACCAGTATATCGAAATATTAGACCAAGATAGAATAAAAGATATGGCGCAATAAAAAACATATTTGTCAAAACTGTTAATATAGTTGATCCGGTTGAACCCCATTGTTCAACCATTCGATATTTATATTCATGAGTAAGCTTTATTAAAGAATAAAATAAATGTTTTATCAATTAAAACTTTACCTTTCGAATCTCTTCGCAAAACATAGTTGATACTGTAATAATAACATAGATTTCAGTCCAATGTGGAATTTTTAATGTATTGGGACTATCAAGATGATAAAGCATCATATAACTAAATACAAGTAAAAACCAAATATAACTTATCTAAATAAATAAAAAATACATGAAATAATTAATATATTTGATTTAATAGAAATTTATTTACGAAATGATAACACATTCTAATGAATGGACTTCCATGAAAATACTGAAAACGGGTCCAATATTTTTTAGTTTTTTTTTCATCGGTATAATAATTGATGCCTTTTGTTGATAATCTAAGTAAGAAATTAAATTAATTTGACAAAAAAAATCAATATCTATTTACGATGTATCTTGCATATTCTAGAGATAAAATGAAATGGAATTATTAATATAAAAAAGATTTTCGTGTACGTACAGTTTCCTTTTCCCGATACGGAATTATCCATGGTGCTAAAAGTCCAAAAGTTATTATAGATAGAAACTGTGATAGTCTTATTAATGTTTGATTATTTGTCATAGATAGTTTATTGTACCATACTTGATTTAGTGTTTGATCAAAACAAGCTGTTCCAACTAGTTGAATACTTTGGGTTGAAATAGCAATCTAAAATTATGTTTGAATATCGATATTAAAAATGTCTTTTTAATAGATAACCTGCATGCATGTGATATTACCAAAGAGTGGTACTTGTCGTAGAAGTAATTCACATGCTGATCGTTCATTATATTTGTAACAGTCATTGATAAAGTCAGCTGCATATTTTCCAAAATCGACTGCTTGATTTTGAAATTTTTCTTTAAGATTAACAGTTAACGACAATTTCGAATATTGTTTAAATATAGCTGAAGCTATTAGAGCAGCACATATACGAGATTGTTGATGAATGAGAAGTATTTTCGCCATTTCAGGCATATCCATAAATACAGCCCATAAAAATAAATCACGTAATAATTTATTTTTTTCAAGTAAATTTTCTGTATCATTTTGTTGCTCCTTAGATTGAGTATCATTATTACCGTATGGATAAACTTGATTGTTCTTTGAAACACGATACTTGGTTTCACTACTGCAGCAACTACATACATGATTTGTCAGATCAATATAAATACGTTTTGTATATGTATTATGTTCTTCTGAATAAATTGCTCCAAAAAATGAACCAATAAATTTATTTAACTTTTCATCAAGTGATTTTACTGTTATCACACCTGATTGACTAAATAATTCTTTTACATAACTACGATTACTCTTTATTAAAAAGAAAATTGTTTACCGTAAGTATTACTTTAGTCCTATAATCATACCTTATTAATTTCCTCGAAAGTATCTTCATATAATTTTAATAGTATTGCATGGCGTTCTTGTTCGACATGTTTAATACCAAGGAGTTTAAATGGATCAAAACCAGCGGCAAGAAAATATTCAACAAAATTTGGATGATTTTTTATTAATGAATCTTGAAATAACTTTTTGTAAAAAAGAAACAGTCAATCCTATACTACTAGTAAATTTCACTTTACCTGCTTAAATTTTTCATTATTACCAGTAGTATGTTGTCGTTTTTTTAATATTGATAAAGCACCATCAAAATAGTTCCATTGAGATGCCAGATCTAATAGTCTATCTTCATCCTTTACATGTTGTTGATCTTGATTTTGTTCACTACTATTATTGATTTCATTTTGTTTATTTTTCACTTTAAAATAAATATAGAGTAACTTAGATGTGATTTGATCTCAATACGTACTAGTAAAAATAGCTTTAAATATTGTTTCTGCTACACTTTTATCACGGTCCATACGAAAAACATTCAGTAAATGACGATTCTCTTTTCTTAATATCCCTTGTATTCCTTTCGTTGTATTACTGATTTCAACTTTCTCGAGACTAGGAAAGAATTCAGCCAGAGCTTTTCTCACAACTTCATCTGGTGGAACACTAAAAGTGAAAATATAAATAAATATTTCTATTATCTGACAGATCCATGAACTATTTAATCAACTCACAATTGTTCGTCATTCTTTGCATCAGCTGTTTGATTGATTAACGAAGCAAATACATCTGCTAAACGACCACTGTCCTACATATAAAACAATGTAATTCTTATTTTTTAATAACACATACACACTTCAATAAATACAATCGGTCGATTTTCGTCTATATCATGTTGAAGAACTTCAATAGTATTCTTACCACCTTCAACAATAATTGTTACACCATAGCCTTTTAATATTATTTATTCAAAGCAATTATAATATTTCAATAATACATACATTTATGTTCCTCATTTTTATCATTCATTGCATGTCCAACTAAAGCACTTCGTTGTTCATCACTTAGATAACCACTTAGTTTACCATCGTCAAACAGAATGCAATGTGTATGATTTCTTTCGATAGTTTCGTCAGTATCGTCACCAGTATCAGAAATTTGTCGATGACATAGCTTCGGTGGATAGTCCTATTAAATAAAACTATTTATGTATTTAACAAACAATTTCATTTTATCTATACTTTAGTTGTATGTTTCAATTCGAAACGTGTACTTTCATTGATCGTTCCCCATTTTGTTAGTCCAATACAAACAATTTTATTTGGATTAGCTTTCAATAAACGATAATGAGATATTCCTTCGCCAATTAATTTTGATGCACCGTTATTAATACCAGTAGTTAAAATCCAAGCATCTTAAAATAACAAAAACGTTATATATTTACAGATGTATATAAATAATTTACTAGACGTTGCTGCAGCATCAATTATACCACGTATAATTTCTTTTTCCAGTTTTTCAGTCATAGTGAAATACTTAGCACCACCATAAGTACTTAAAATGAGAGCTGGTTTTGTACCTCCACAATCTTTAACAAGCATCTCATAGATAAGCTCCATACTTGATTGATTATCAATTCGAATATATTTACAACCAATAGACCCAGTGGATTTTAATGTTCCGTATATAGTCATAGGAACAGTGGTAGAATGCACGCGCTTAAATTCCTGTTGAGAATTTGTTGTCGCAGGTCTATCGCTGCTTGTATATAGCGGTTCGACGCTACCAGCTAAACTGTGACATCGGACTAAGCGACCACAAAGACATTTCTTATTCTCATCACCTGGAACAATCTGTACTTGTCGATTATAAATTTTACAAGTACGACAGACGATTTTGTTGTCTATTTTGGCACGTGAAATCAAATCTTCCCATGATTCTTTTAATTCCATCTAAAACGTTTTAGATATGATGCATTCTTTTTAATAAAACGGGGTTGAGTAAATGTTATATAGTAGTATAAAGTTTGATAAAAAAACTTGTTTCTCTCGCAGAAGAAATGAGAGAATGAATGGATTAAGATGCTACCATAGAATAATATATGTTATTGACAAATTTTGAGGTGTGGGTGTGCTTGTGAGTGTACTAAGATATATTCACACGTACATTCACACCCACATCCTCAAGATGTAATACGATTATAAAACATTTTATTATTTAAAAACTATAGATGTAGCGTTTTGTTCTACCTAAGAACATCATCAGACACGTATCCCTAGGAAAAATCATTGATGGTTCATAGCCTGATCCTTCACAGATCTGATGAAGATCCTGCAAGGATTCGCTGTTTTTTACTGAGGAAACGACTAAATTCCAAAATAAATGTGTCGTCACGGCATTTTGGGATTTTTTCACTTGTTGATAAAAATCTTTTCAAGGACCATTCAAGATACTATCTCATGTTGGCAAACTTCTGTCTAACTACCGGGAAGAGACCTGTCACGAATCTATAGCAAGTCAAGGCCTAACATTTTATTTGTTTATATTCATAAGATTTGAACTTACCGGTATCATGACAGGATTGAGTCAGGATCGTAGCAGGTTTTTCTAAACGGAACGAATTAAATATGAACACATAGAGTATTGATCTTTAGACCTTCAGTTCATGAACTGAATAGCTAACCCAACCGGACTGTATTCTCGTTTAGAAGTGATGTAACAAGTCACTTTTATGTTTCCTTTCTTTCTCAATCTTTATTTTTTTCATATTTTTCAAATTTTAAATTTGATAATTTTAATTATCTCAGGTCGAATATGCTCTGTCGTGAACGACCGCATACAACGTTTACCTTCGTAAATGAGAGTACACGATACGGAGAAATACGATCGTAATACTGCGACAGGTAATACGTCAAAATACGGCGAAACAAGACCGTATCGTATCTGTATATGGTCATGTGCGATTATATTATTGTGCTGTATGGTAAAGATATTACCCTCTTTATCATGCAATCTATGCTCTTTTACTTCCCAAGTGAGATACAAATATCTTCCATTAAATAAAATAATAAAATAAAGTAAAGTACTTCAAAACCCAATAAAAGAAATTATTTACTTATTGTTCACTGACTATATCCACTTAGACCTCCTGAAATAAATAGAATAAAATTAGATTAAATTTGGTACTTACTATTCGATAAATATATAACTTCAGATTGTCTAAAATAAAATAGAACCATATAATACAATAAAGTAAAATACAATAAAATAAAATAATATAAAATAATATTATTATACCAAGTGACATGATGGACATCGTTTCAAACTATTATCTTTTGTTACAATTATCCTTCACTCGTTTGTTATCTTGCTCGTATTATTTTTCTTTCTTTTCGTCTGCGTCTTTGAACTCAAGGACAAAGATGGTGAGACAAATCTTTGATAGATATGTTAGTTTAGACACAACATTTTCTTTTACGAAGGTCAACACCGAGTGGTGATAAAAAGATTCATTCTGAATTAGGAGTGGGACTCGAAGACCTACTAGAGTCTGAACCATAAGTTGAACTAAGAAGTTTTAAATATACAAATAGATTATAGTACCTATTTGATTGTGTCAATCCCGTACCGCTTGCTGTTTTTGTTTTGTTGCTGTATATTTTAATCTTTATTCAATAAACAATTACGTCTCGGTATTGACCGAACGCATTAAACTATCTCTTCTCGTACAACTATTATTCATTAAAAATAAATCAATTCTGTTACAATTATACTATAATAATATTGAACAATGATAATGAAAATATAAATACTAAAAAATATAGTATATCTATTCAAATCTTAGTTCATTGTGATTTTCTCACATTGATCATATAGTAACCGTATATAACTATATACGGCAGTCGTATACCTCTGTATACGAAGTAAAAACGTTTTACCTTTTATTTACTCCGTGTTTTATCGCGAACTCCGTATAAGACATCCATTTCTTATCGTATCTCTTCGATTTTTTCTGTTAACAGCCGTTAATGACAGAGTATGTTCGACCTTGGTAACAACACGATGGAGGTTTAATTCACGTTTATCATTACTCAGTATTATCAAAGGATTTCTTGGAAATGAGGAAAACTCTACAATGTTTTCAATGAAAACATTAAATCGAAAAATATACCTGATTATACTGAATATGAACATCAAGATGAATTCATTTTAAGAATGTGAACAGAATTTTGTGTAAAAAGCAATGCGTTAGATTATTCAAATTGATCATATGTACGAGTATTACTTTATCTTTACTTTATAAATAAAGATAAAGAAATAAAGTAAATCTTTATATTTGTAAAGCAAAGATTAAGATAATCTTTATTTGCAACAGTAAAGTTAAAATAAAGAATGAAGATAAATTTTTTCATGTAGTAAGTACATATGCAAATACCCTGTATAACAACAGAATACATTTATTAATGCTCTTTCTTAGCATCATTATCATTTTGATATGCCATGTCACTAAAAAAAATGATCACACAAGAAACGTTATATACAGAAAATGTAATTCCATATTATAGTTAATTACATAATATCATAATTTTTTGTAAGCTATTCTAAGAAAATAAAAAAGTACGTTTCGATAGAAAAAAAATCCTTATTCTTTTCTATAAAGTAGAGTAAAGATAACGTAACACCCTTAATCATATGTTGTTCATTTAATTAAAATTGATAATGAAATCGATGATAATGCTCATACATCTACATTAGCATCATCGATCAATCAAATGCAATTAACATTCTCTTTGTAAGCCCATAGGCGATATTATAAGATTACTATGAATCCGTCAATTGATTTTTCTCTTCTTAGAACTATTTATATTTTTATGACAAGAATATTATTGATTTACTAAGAATTTGAGATTATAAAAGAGCAATGGAATGAAACAATAAGTATTATTATAATACTACATGAGGATGTAGATGTGGATGTGAACGTGGGTAAACACCCTCACTCACACTCAGCCTCTCACACACCTTGAAACTACATTTAAAGTTTGCAATCTACTAATCAATGAATGTCAGTAATTATGCAAATAAATCAATTACTTATAGTTTTAAATGAATATAGTCGATTTTTGCTATTATTCGCTTCTTTCTTTATTATTTTTATATGAACCTGATAGTAGGTATACAAATTAATGCTTCCTTTTTTAAATACCATAAACAGTTAACACTTATGATTTTTAAAAGCTGCTTAATCAATTGAACAAGAAAGGAAAAGATGAATCATCATTGTCAGATAGAAAACATAGTTCCGATGTTTATTTGTTGCATATAATCGATCGTTCTGACTTCACTTGTAGTTAATATGTTAGAAAATTTCTCTTCTTCATTTTTTAAAAGCAAAAATAAAATTGAATGATAATTTTCGAATGACGATCATTTATCTTCTTCATTCTATATATGATAGATATGTTTCGATCTGTTTTATTTTGTTCATACAGCAAATTATTAAACAACATTGATCAGAATAGTTCGTTTATGATCAGGTTTTTATTATTTGTTTTACAACTATGATTATAAAATTTATCAGAATATGCTTATTTCTGTTAAAAACTAATGCATTACCAATTAGAAATAATTCAACGCAGGGTGATCTTCATAACAAACGTATTTTAATGACTAACAAATTTCAATATAGATACATACTCAATATAATTATAATAGATTCAATAACACGTAGATGGAATATGTTATTATATCTCATAACGTGTTTTATTAATCATATCTGCTTCACGAACAGATGATATACATGTTTGTAACTTTTTGCATAATTCAAGAATGTTTTTTGACATATTAGTTATTAGTTGTGAAATGGCAACTGAATTCAATAAGGAAAACCGAGTTCTCATACCAAAAACTACTTTGTTATCATCTATTTGGCTGTCATTTGTCATGGCAATCAATAAATCACAGGGAAGGACGTTCGATTGTTTAGGACTACTTCTGTCACAACCAGTTTTCGAGAATTCGATTATTAACATCGATCAAAGCGCAAGTCATGAACAAAGAACAAACTGGTAAAACAAACAGAACTAAAAATGTTATTTGTAAAGAAGTTTTGTAAACCAGTTATTTTTAAACAAACGATGCCAATACAGTGTGTACAGGTCTTCACACTCTAAAAAAAATAGGTTTTTTACTGAACTTTAAAGGTTTCCCA